ATTGGCAGCTTACATCCTTTTACTACCATAAATAATTGCCTGAGCTTCTGAAAATGTATTTTAATGTACTGTATTAGAAGAGAACATCTGCAGGCAATGGAAGAAGATTAAAGGATATTCTAAAGCCAGTGTGCATTTCCACAAGATACAGTGAATATATATCTTTCTGTCCAAAGCTATATTCCACTCTGAACTCCATCAGCTATTGTTTTTAACATCTCGCTTCCAACAATATAACTCAAGAGCTTCATTGACCAAGAACTTTCATCTTAAGCAATCTATCTGTTTACTTGCTCTATGGGATTTCAGATTTTTCGATCAGAAAAATGGATATTGGGTCTAGATTTGTTAGACACTCCTAAATAATTATGTACAAACACACACATGCGCGCACACACACACACACATACACACATATCATGTCTGTAAAAAAACAAAATAATTATTAGAATTAAATATTAGATGTTAGCATTCAACTTAAAAAAACAGAACATAATTCTCTTTATAAAATCCTGTAGGATAAATAATAAACCTATAGAGAAATGTTTACTGTACTGTATACCCTACAAATGTGCCTATGCTAAACACACTACAAACCTGGGGTAGGAATTGTATAGCCCTTCAGATGTTGTTGAACTGTAACTCTCAGCAACTCTAGGCAGCATAGCCAAGGGTGAGGAATGCCAGAAGTCACAATCCAACAACATCTGGAGACTTGGACAATTCATACCTCTAACATAAATGATGCAATATTTCCACAATAATTTATGGCACTATTCCACCCATGATACAGTAAAGTGATATTCCAATCATCAATATTAAATGTATCAAATTGGTTGACACTTGATGTAGCACCTAATTTTTGGTCCTAATCTTAAATCTTCATCTTTCATCATATAAGGTCTGACATGCCAGATGTTTCAGGTGGGTTCAGAAAACGAAGAAGCACAATGTATGCAAGCGTGTGTTGGATAATGGAGCACACCAAAAATTTTAGAAGAAAATCAGCCTATGATTTATAGATTAGAGCAAAGCCTTTGATTGTGTTGATCATGAAAAACTTTAGATCACTCTTAAACATTTGATTGTCCTTGTGTCCTAACCTGTACTCAGGAAAAGAGGCTATTGTCAGGACAGAATATGGAGAAACAGAATTGTTTCTAATTGGCACAGGCCTGCATTTTATCACTCTGTCTCATTTGTATCATACTTAAAGCTGGAGTAGACTCAGAGGAAGGAAGCATAAAAAATGGAGGAAGAAACATCAACAAATTAAGATATGCAGATGACACTATACTACTAGCAGAAATAGCAAGGCTTGGAATAAGTACTGAAGAAAGTCAAGGAAGAAACTGCAAAGATAGGTTTACAGTTGAACATTAAAAGAATGACCACAGGTGATTCCCATAAATTTTAAGCAGAGGATGAAGAAATAGTACAAGATTTTCCATACCTTGGCTAGTCCTTTATCATATTTTAATAACTACATTTGAAATGAAGCAACCTTCTCCCTAGTTGCATGTTTAAAATGTTATTTTAATCCACAATTTTTATATGTCATGATTTCCCTGAGCACTACAAGATTTAGCCAGTTAAAAAACAAGTCAACTGTAACTTATGGCAATTTTATCATATGGTTTTCTTGGCAAGATTTATTCAGAAGAGTTTGCCATTGCTCTCCTCTGAGGCTGAGAGTGCGTGACTTGCCCAAGGATACCTAGTGGGCTTCTGTGACTGAACAGGGATTGGAACCTTGGTCTCCTGGAATCCTAGTTCAACACTCAAACCACTATACCACTGGCTCAAAAAATTATGTATAAAAATTAGTATGAGAAAACAACTATTAGGCTACAAAAATTTGCTCCTGATTAACTAGGTAGATTAAAAAAACATTATTTTAAATAGCTTTATTTATAAAAAATTATAAGTGGCAAATGGCATCCAAGAAGACTTATTTCCTTCTAAGTTGAGAAAGAAGGGAAGACGGCTTCTTCTGAAATGGTGACTGCTGGTCTTTCCTTCAGTACTTGAATACCCCACTTAAGAATAAGTATGGTGGGCTTTTTCTTCTTTATGGCTATTTTTATTCATATGCAGAAAAACCCACAGATCTTATCAGTTAGGAAGACATTTGTCTCCTTGCCTCAACACACTTGGCTATAATACCCTTAGCTTGTAACAAAGGGATCAGTGACAAGAGGCTCTCTTCATACTCATAAACCATTTCAGTCTAGCTACTTTAATGGCATAACAGTCACCCTTAAACTAGATTTTCCATGGATTAGAATTTTATATCTGTTTTATCTTTTTTTCCTTTTAAATCCAACAATTCTTTAGTGATCAATATATGGAAGATCCAGCTGTCATTCCCCTGTAATAAGAACAGACAGATGGCTGCCATCTTGTGGCCAAGACCTCACATAGAAGCAGAACAACTGAGGCAGATTCATACATTATCCAGCAAAAAGCACAACTTCTACAGGGTTACCAAATGTCCCTTATTGTAAGGGATGCCCCCTATTTGAAGGCTGGAAATATTTCCTTTCATATAGACTGAACAAGATGCCAAAAATCATATATTTTGGGTGCAGGACTTTCATAAAGACAAAAATGTGTGCATCATGTACAGTATTTTCTGGCGTATAAGACTACTTTTTAATCCAGGAAAATCTTCTCCAAAGTCGGGGGTCATCTTTAGTATTAGTACCTACCTTGGTATATAGGTAGATGACAAACTTGTAAATAACTATTATCTGAATGTCAATCCTACATGCCATGAATTTCAATTGTCCCTTATTGATACTTAGAAGACCCGACAACTCTAACTACCAAAGGTATGCTTCAGGAGTCACAGCTAATCCTAGCCCCCTGCCAACTGTAGCTATATGATGTATATACTAATACATTGGCCACCAGCACACTTGATGTATTCAGATTTATACCAATTGTAGGCCATAGAAACGAACCATTTTTTCCCTAAGGAAACAACTTAGAACTCATATTGTTTCAAAGTCTCTTTTCTCCATTTAGATATACATCATCTCATAAGACTGCTTCTCAGATCTAAGCTAACATTCCTTTAAAAAGTTTTTCAAAAGTAATGTAAATTCTAGTAAAAACTTAAAATATTGTTTAAAAAAAAAGGTTATTTCCTATGAAATATTCAACCTTAGCTTGGCAATTCCTTCCATTTCTATAGCATTCTGTAATAATAATAATAATAATAATAATAATAATAATAATAATAATAATAATTTTTTATTTATAACCCGCCCCTCTGCGTGGCAATCAGAGTGGTACAACAGTTTAAAAACAAAACAGAGTTAAAAATCATTCCCTCACTCCATAATCCCACCCTCCCATCCCCTTAAAATAGAATGTTACAATAACCTGCTAGTCTAAATTAAGCTTTAAAATTCAGGTACATATGAAAAACACTAGAGCATTATTATAAGATCAAGACAGTTTATTCATTCCAGACTGGAGTTGATTTCTCTGTAAGAACTTTTTCTCCATGGCCTTGCTGGGCCAGCTTGCCTTGTTCAGAGAACAATAAACTGAGTATCACTCTTCTTCCTATGCATTACCTTCATCTTTTTGTCAATTTCTCACCTTGAACACCTGCACCTGGTCATTAATGCAATGTGCTTGGCAGTACATTCACTGCAGGGGGAAAAACAAAAGCCTATACTGAGCCATTGAGTATCACTGGTGGGAACTGTGCGGC